CAGAAACGAGAGTAACCACACTTTTGGAAGACTGTCGCAGTGTTCTGTCCCCGAACGAATTGGTCAAGGCGAAGAAGTTGTTAATCGAGTACGCCGATGTATTCTCATCAAACGATGCTGACATAGGAAAGACTGGTTTAGTTCAACACAAAATAAACACAGGTGAAGAGTTGCCTATCCGTCAGCGGCCAAGACGATTGCCGGTAGCACGTGAAGAGGAAGTGGAAACCATGATTAAGGGAATGGTGCAGGATGGTGTTATTGAACCTTCATCTAGTCCATGGTGTTCACCCGTGGTACTGGTAAAGAAGAAGGACGGCAGCTTGCGGTTTTGTGTTGACTACCGCCGTCTGAACGACGTTACTAAGAAGGATAGCTATCCCTTGCCAAGAATTGACGACACGCTGGACATGCTTACAGGAGTAAAGTGGTTTAGTACGCTGGACCTAAAAAGTGGCTACTGGCAAGTTAAAATTGACCCTAAGGACAAGGAGAAAACTGCGTTCTCGACGGGAAAGGGTCTGTGGTCAATTTAAAGTAATGCCGTTTGGGTTGTGCAATACTCCAGCAACGTTTGAAAGGCTGATGGAACTTGTACTTACCGGGCTAATTGGCGACGCCTGTCTGGTCTACTTGGATGACATCATCATCGTGGGCCGTACGTTTGAGGAACACCTTCAAAACTTGGAACGCGTGCTCATGAAGATTAAGAGTGCCAACCTCAAGTTGAGTCCGAAGAAATGTTCACTATTCAAACGGCAAGTCAACTTTTTGGGGTATGTAGTGTCGGAAGAAGGTATCCGCACGGATCCAGAGAAAATCGCAGCTGTAAAGGATTGGCCGGTTCCAAAAGACAAGACGCAGGTTAGAGCATTTTTGGGTTTGTGCTCCTACTACCGACGTTTTGTGAAGAACTTTGCAGATATAGCCAAACCTCTGCATAAGCAACCGAGGAGAAGCGACATTTCTGCTGGGATGAAAGTTGTAATATCGCATTCCAGGAGCTCAAGGACCGTCTGTGCAAAACACCTATTTTGGGATACCCTGATGCAAGCAAAGAATTTATAGTTGACACAGACGCAAGTGATATAGGACTTGGCGGTGTGTTGTCTCAACGGAATGGTGACCAAGAGGTCGTGATAGCGTACTTCAGCAAGTCGTTGTCAAAACCGGAAAGGAACTATTGTGTCACAAGACGCGAATTGCTAGCTGTGGTAAAGTCGTTGCAGCATTTTAGCAAATATCTTCTGGGGCGAAAATTTCACTTACGAACTGACCATGCTGCACTAAAATGGCTATTGCAGTTTAAAAATCCAGAAGGACAAGTTGCGAGGTGGATTGAACTACTGCAGGAATACGACTTTGAGATCGAACATCGCAGCGGGAAATCTCATGGCAACGCAGATGCATTATCACGAAGACCTTGTCCTGAAGATTGCAAACATTGTACTAGGCAAGAGAGTAAGGAAGTGGTATCCGTGAGGATGCTCAGGGTAGACCACCTCAGCAACGAGTGGAAGGACAGCTTTCAACGTGCACAGCAGGAAGATCCGGACATCAAGCCGATCCTGGAATGGATGAAGGCCAGTGCTCCCAAGCCTAAGTGGAGCGACGTCTCAGCAATGAGTTCAACCACTAAAAGCTATTGGGCCCAGTGGGACAGCTTGCTGCTTCAGGATGGAGTTCTGTGCCGTAAATGGGAAAATGTTCGGGGAGACAGCTGTCATTTACAAATGGTTGTCCTAAAACTAAAGTACCGGATGTTCTACAGCTGTACCATAATGATTATTCAGGAGGCCATCTGGGAGTTAAACGAACTCTACTGAAGATCCGAGAACGGTTTTACTGGGTCCACTGTCGAAACGATGTCGAGGACTGGTGTCGCAAATGTACAAGTTGTGCGGCTGTAAAGGGACCTCAGACTCGTAGTAGAGGTGCATTGAAGTTGTACAATGTGGGTGCACCATGGGAGAGAATAGCCATTGACGTGGCGGGGCCGTTTCCGGAGAGTGAAAGCGGTAACAAGTATTTCATGGTTGTGATGGATTACTTCACTAAGTGGCCAGAAGTCTTCGCCATTCCAAATCAAGAAGCTTCAACAGTTGCAGATAAACTAGTTCATGAAGTCTTCTGTCGTTTTGGAGTACCTTTAGAGATTCACAGCGATCAAGGAAGGAATTTTGAGTCTCAAATATTCCAGGAAACTTGCCGAGTTATGGGTACTCATAAAACAAGAACGACTTCTTATCACCCGCAATCTGATGGAATGGTGGAACGATTTAATCAGACATTGGAGAGGTACCTAGCAAAAGTTGTAGACAATCGGCAACGAGATTGGGACAAGCACATACAACCGTTTTTGTTGTCATATCGAAGTTCTGTTCACGAAAGTACAGCAGTGACACCAGCTTTCGCAAACTTTGGAAGAGAATTACGGCTGCCTGCGGACCTTATCACCGGGATACCACCTGATGCCCCACGCAGTATAACCGATTATGCAAATGACTTGCGGAACAAAATGAATGACATTTATGAGCACGTCAGACAATCGGGCCAGCAAATGTCTGAGAAAATGAAAACCCGGTACGACCGCAAAATGAACAATAAAGGGTTCAACGAAGGTTCATTAGTGTGGTTGCACAATCCAGTCCGCAGCAAGGGGAAATCTCCTAAGCTTCAAGCTAAATGGGACGGCCCGTACCGGATTGTAACCAGGATCAACGATGTGACCTACCGGATACAGAAAGGCGCAAGAGGGACTCCTAAGATCGTCCATGTGGATCGCTTAGCGCGTTATTATGGGACCGATAATGCTCGGGACGAGCATGTCTTAGGAGGGGGCGGTGTTGCATGAATAAGTCAACTAGCGCCATCTAGTGTCAGGAACGAGAGCGAGGGGAGCTTTGCAGTAAATGACATCACAAATCTTTCGACCGACAGCGCCACCCGAAGAACTAAGTTTCTGGAAAATCTACACTCGAATACTCGTTGCCTGGCGCGCATTTACTTGAACGTTCGGGACGCTTCTTTGCTAATTATATAAATAGGCGCTGCAAGATGCGATCGGGGCAGAGTTGAACTCGGCGACACAAGCGAAGCTTCGGAGCGGAATTAAGTGAATTAGTGTGTTTAATTATTAGTGTTTTTAGTTTTAATTTGTGTAAAGTAAATTAAAGTGTTAATTTAGGTAATTTTATCGGCAATTTTTATTGTCACGAACCTCAAGCTCGTAACAATAGTATAGATAGTGTATACGGTACCTATACACTTACTTCTTTTTTCGTTGGTTATATTTATATTGACTACTGCTTTCAATTTCGGTTTTCTGCGATTTGTTTTGTGATTTGGTTTAAGTTGATTCGATTTTCTTTTGGCTATCGTTTTTGGATTCGTGTTGTGTCTTGAATTGGTTTTGTTGTTTTGATTTTAAAACATATTTAAAAGGAATATTTATTCCTTTTAGATATTTTGGATTTGCTTTTAAAAAAATATTTAAAAGGAAATTTAATTCCTTTTAGGTATTTTAACATTTTTTATAAATAGGTTTTTTGTTACTTCATAATGCCTCGCAAACGTAAGTCCAGCCTTTCAAGAGTATCTTCTCAAAGACAAGCGAAAAGATTAGCTCGATCGCTAGAATCTTTAGAAGATGCCGAACTGAGAAGGCAAGAACAAGCAGAGCGTCAGGCTGCTTTTAGAGCATCTGAGACACCTTCTCAACGTCAGCAAAGGCGTCTTGAACAGACAGAGCGTCAGGCTACTTTAAGAGCTTCTGAAACACCTTCTCAAAGTCAGCGAAGGCGTATTTACATCAGGAGAAACATCGACAGAATTGAATTTGTGGTTATTTGGTGCGAGATGACGCGAGTGTCATTGTAGAATTAAGTAAAATTGCGCCATTTCTGTTGCTACAACGTCTGGATGGCCGTTACGCAGGGTGCCCCGCGAATGTGGTTGTGTTTGGAAGCTACCACGACGTAAAGGTATTTATGACATTAAATCCGATAGTTTTTGGTGCAACAATACCGTAATAAGGCAATTGTGGCAATGTTGCTCCAAAAATTAGTAAGTTCTTGGTGAAACAAAAACAAAATTGCGTAATTACGTCAATGTTTGTCAAATTAAAGTATATTTTTGGTAAAATAATGACAGAATTTTGTAAATATGTCATTATAGTTCTAAATAAGGTATTTTTTTAAGTTTAATGAAACGATGTCAGGATTGTGTAATTACGTTGTTATTACTGTAAGTAAAGTAAGTTCTTTTTTGAAAATAGACAGAATTACGAAACTGTGTCATTGTTACTCCGGTACCTTTACCTGTATTGTAACTAATAATAATTTTTAATAGTGAGGAAATATAACTAGGAAGTACTTAAATATATTTAAGAATATGTCTATAATAACCAATACTACAGGGACTAAATTAATTTAAACTTTCAGTTAAGAATATTGTTAATGATGGAGAACCGTGCAAGAAGATTGGTGAATTGTACAAACCAAATGCTTCAGAAGTTAGTAAACGATGTAAAGATGGTAAGTTTGTAGTATGTAAGTTAATTCTTATTTAATAAATCACAATCAAAAGAACCTACCTTCTCCACCTATTAAAAGTAAGTAGTAATCGGTTGATGAGATAGACCGTACTTTCGGTTGTGATTTATTAAACACATATTTATTTTTAAGGGACGTCCTAGGCGGAAGTTTGTCGACCAAATTGGCGATATACTAAAAATGGGCCAAATAAGGAGTACCCTTAACCGACGAGCATGTATGCGTATATGGATATACGCATACATGCTCGTCGTCGTCGTATATATATGGATGTGGAAGAGGCGAGAGAGGTATGTCAGGATCGTGCTAAATGGAAGTCTGTAGCCTCTGCCTACCCCTCTGGGTGACAGGCGTGAGTGTTTATGTATTATGTATATTTATTTTTGTTCTAGATTATGATAAGATACATTTATACCAAAAAATAAAGTAACACGTTGTGAAAATAATATGCCACAAAATGATGTACCTGATTTAGACATACATGCATCAAACTTTCAAGCTCCAATTGATTTACCAACTTGTATTTACCAAATTATGGGTTCTGATATGACACTGGAAACAAATTCAAAGTCATTGGCTTATGATGATGTATCGGTATGTATGAATACACAAGGTTACGCAGATTTTTCTGCAGACGACAGTGGAGAAGAATACCTTCCTGAAAAAGTTAAACAGATACTACTCCCCCAGAAACTCATTATCATCGAACACTTCTACACAAAGTATTGAAATTTTGTCGCAGAATCAGCCTCTTACCTCAAATCAAGACAACAACATTTCCCATGACAATAGTATCCGAAACAATAAGTCTCCTGAAATTGATCAAAATCTAGTATCGCCTAAGAAAACAAAAAAAAAGTAAAAAAATCCAGCGGCTTGGAAGAAAAATTAACGTGCTGAAAAATTGAGGTCAGGAGTATTCTTCTCGGATGGATAAGATTATTCTTGCGAAAGAGTTTAAGTCCCTTGCTCTAACAAGTGCAAACATAAATATTCAGAACGCATCTCAGAGGATCAAGTATATGATATTTTCAAAATTTATTAGGATTTATCCTTTGTTCAAAGAGAGCGTGATTTTCTTAATTCGACAATAACTGTGCTACAACTGGCACAACGTCGTTTGATAACAGGTGTTGAAAAGAACAGAAAACCTAATACTTATTGTTCCTTTTTGTCTAATGGTAGGATTTTCAGGGTATGCAATTTATTTTTGTTGAATGATTTTGTCACAAATGCAAAATTCTAAAGCTACAGTGACGTATTTACAGGTACCTTATTTTGTTTAAGTCTATAATCTAGGTCATGTACAATATACCGAGTAGATTAGGACTATAATAGAAACTACACATATTAAACTAACTTTTAAAATCACAACAATAGTAATAAGTCCCTTCAATGTGCCATACCTTTAACAGAAATCTAGATAGCAAGTCTCATGACTTTGTAACCGATTTTGAATGACAGGTCAGCACAAGTCGACACGCAAGAAATAAGCTCCTAAATATTTTGTAAATTTTTAGATTATTATAATACAATTTTTGTAATTCATATTTTTCCGAAATGGTTACATGTTCCGTGAGTGACAGTAGGTAAATAATAGAAATAATCCTGATAATTGCATATTTCACAGGTAAATTCTCAAGACGTCGTCAATAATAAGAAACGTCCATTTTTGGTAAAATTTTTGTTTTATACTGTTTGAAATATAGAATGTTTTTAATTATTTTGTTAATTTTGATATTTTGCAAAAAAAGTCACTCAAGTCTCAAGTCAATTTGTAAATACAAATTATTTTACATGTACGCTAGGGATTGACTCAACTATATCAACATTAATGTTGATATTTATCCGGAATGTTTATAATGAATCGATGGTTTCATTATTATTATTTATATTTATTCTCACACAACGGAATGAAAATAAAATATCAGTTAGCGTTCTAAAATGTAATTTTATTTTTCCGATTGCCAAACAGATTCTCTCCATAATTAGAAAATAATGGTTAAGTTTATTAGGCGGGTTGATTGAAATCCTAAGAACTCTAAAATTTGCAGCAAACATTTTCTCGAGAAGTATAAAAGTAAAATTAGAATAAAACAATTTCATTAAAATGAGTCATTTTTACATTATTTGTACCAGTAAGTATATTGTTATAATAAGACTTCAAAAATTTTACTTCAAAAACTTTTGATAAAAATAGAGATAGATTTTTATACATTATAACTATCTATTTATGAACCGATAAAATGAGCTCTTCTTCTGCAGAGAAGCTCCTCTTCTGTAGAGAAGAGGAGCTCGTGGTTAAGTAATAGTTGCACGGATCAATAGATCTGCGAGATTAAACTGCACTTGTCGCGGTCATTCCATGGATGAGAGACCGTTTCCTTCACATAAATATATACCTATAACATAGATCGCGACAAAAAAGAGTGCACATGTATCCTCAGACACTTGGTGAATTTTAATATCTCCTGCGTATTTGGTTAGTCTCTGTTAAGAAAATTATGTTTTTAAATTCATGCAGCCAAACCGATAATAAGTTTATTATTACTTTATATTTTTAGGGACAGATGAAAGAGAGAGCAGCCTCATAGACATATTAGCCTTTAAACAGAGCAATCTTATTTAATTGATTCCTACAAGTTTCCTTACTTAAATTATTTAAGTAAGGAAAGTTTACATTCATATTTAAGTCGAATATTAAAATAATGTACTCGTAATGTCAAAATAACGTACATATCCCCGTTTTTATTTCACGAGCAAACAATTTTATAAAATTTTAACAGGTATTTACTTAATTAAGTATCTAACTATTTATATTTCATTATCATTACGTTAAAAAGAATTTCCGAGGAAACTGTCCATGGCTGTAAATATTTATTTCTACAGTTCATCTCGAAAATAAAATTTTCTTTAAGTTTATTTGGTAGACTCACCTCTTCGGAGTTATTGGGATTTTATATATTCTGAATTAAAATTCAACAAAACGTAGGTAGGTGCTGCTTATTTTCGGGAATATGTTATATGATTTTTTTAATTATTTTAGAATATCATGTTAAAAATTCAGTTAATTTTTGAAGTTATTCAGTTTTCTGCAGTAAACTAGTTATTTAATCATTTTACCGATTTCTTAACAATCATTTTTCGATAGTTTTTGTAACTAAAATGTACATCACTAGCTAACTCACACAATACCAAATAAAAATTGGTCACGCGTTTTCGGGCTGTTAGGTTGTCTATACGCCAGTATATTGTATATTCTAAGTCTATGGTGTCACTTGCGTCAAAGCCATGAAGGTTAGAGAACAGGAGAACGATCACTACGTGCTAAAGCATAGCCCGCCTGTCCTTGAAAATTGTAGAAGCAAGTGGTTGAGCATCTGATCGGAAAAATAGACTGAAAAACTGACTGCACTTAGTGATCGCAGCGCCTCACTGATGGTGTCCATATTTCTGGGACACTATTTTCTACGGCGATCGTTCTGTTCTCTAACCATCATGGTCATAGCGACATTGACCTTCTAATATAGCCAAAACGTTCTAGTCCACAAATAAAATAAAATTGAAAGAAAAATTAAGCAGTGTTACGCGTATAACGTAAAGCCATAGACGTATTTAGTGATGGGATGTACTGCTACGATGGATATTTGTAATTATTCTTATAATAAAGAACGTATATTGTGTGTAGTTCCTTTTTATTGTTATAAAGTCTATAATTATATAAATGAAATAGCAAAACAAATATAGGGTAAGGTTACTTAAATGGTTGCTAAGAATAAATATAATTTATTCGTCTTAACTTATATCAGAGTCAGGAACATCTGAATTGTCACTAAATTCATCATCAAATCTGTGAAGTATATTATTAACGATGACTCCATTAAGGTGGAAACATATTTACGTGTCGTGGCGCGCCAGAAGCATATCGGTTTCACACATTTAATATGCTTAGGGATATATTTGCATGTCGTGTCGCGTCACAACACGTTCTGTCGTGGCACGGTAATATTATCTATACAGTATTCCAACTTCATACAAACGGACGAAGCGAGAGCTATACCTACGCGCCTCGATCTCGGCATGCGCTCGGCATGCAGACAGTCGAGACTGTGCCGCAGTCATGATTTTGTGAAATATATAAAAAAAAATTGGAGGAAATAAATAATAAAATAGAAATAAAGAAATAATAAAACTGAACTTCATTTAAAAACAAACATATAAATTGTAAAGTAGCTGCAGGTATCTATAACCAATTAAAAGATATTCATTTTCTCAACGTTGTCCATGTTTCCCAAAATAATTTTTAATTTATATTATTTTTTAGCTTTATATTAGAAAGTGGATTTTTTTATATTTAAAAATCTAAAAATAAAGCATTTCGTAAGTCTCAGCCGAGGTGCAAATATTTTTCGGTCGCAAATTTATTTAACCGATTTGTTATTCAAACATAAACATGGTTTTTTTAATTAAATCTACCAATCAAAAAACGACACGCATTTTTATTGAACACTTCCTATTCAATTCACAAAATACCTATTTTATTTGTTTATATAAAAAGTATATTTACAATCATAAAATAAATGTAAACACAAAGTAGGCAAGTGTAAAAATGCTGGAGGCAGGTAGCCCTATCACATGTTTACGTGCCGCACGGCTGTAGGCATTTATTTGAAAGATACGGCCGAGTTACAATACTGTATAGATAATATTACCGTGGTCGTGGCGCCGTTTGCGCCAGAGCGGTGGTGGGGGTAATGACGCGACACGAAACAACAGGCAAATGTGTTTCTATACCGGCGCCTGGCTCCAGGCGCGAACATCTAGCGGACACTTTTTAATAATTATATTTGCAGCAAAATGACTGACAATCTTATTGAACTATATGTAAAGAGCACAAGGATTTCATGATAAATGATTGTTAAACCTAATTCATACAGCAGCATGGTCAATTTTACTTTTTTAAAACAGTACAACTTACCTTAAACATAACGCAAGTCTTTCTTTAGTACCTATGGGTTCGCGAAATTTAGTATGTACTTTTTTTATGTCTCCTTCAATCAACGAACGGACTTCCTCATATTGTGCTTTGTTCATTCTAAAGAACTGATGAAATTTCTCTTCGTCACTCTCTAATTCTTTAACAAGACGATGAAATTCACCTTTGTCTCATCTCCCTCTGTTCATAGGGTGAACCCAGTATCTTCTTTTCTTTTTTTGCGCTCAAGAAGTTTTATTACTAAGAGAAATTGAAGGTCTTCATCAAAATCACTATCCGAATCAGAAGAAAACATTATGTATGTTTGAACGCCGCAAAGGTTCGTTAAGTACTGTTCAAAAATAACGCCAGAGCACGCCACGACACGACACGTTAGTGTGCACACTCACCGTCACGACAGTAAGTATCACGACACGCTACGACACGTAAATATGTTTCCGCCTTTATGTTGTCAATATGGATGTCACGATCCCAATCAGACATAATGTCCCTTTTTGACGACGTTCGACCAGTCTTCAGGTGGAACATTGTTGATTGCCTCTTGTAGTAGGGCCAACATCTTATTTACCGTAAATGGCGGGGAAGTATTATTTCTTGCGGCGTGACCTAAAATAAACGGACTTATGAATAAAAAGTATTTCAATTCAATCAATCATTCAATCAAATAATCAATTATTTTATAGGTAATGCTAAAAATTACACTTGAAATACGTCTAATCTAGTATCTAGTATC